AAAGTGCAAAAAAAAAAAAAGGGAAGGGCAAACTATATTTCCTTCTCTTTTTTTTGTGCTTCTTTTTCATTCTTTTTATAATAACACTATAATGTTTGTAGTGCATGTAATTGCATCATCTAGAACCAAAAATGAACTGTACTTTTACTTTTAATTCTTGCACAAGCATTGTAGATTTTAATATAATTTAGATGGATCTTCATGTGCATATTTCTGCAAATATCTGAAAAACATATAAGCTTGTTCAGACAGAATTTGTGCTGATTTTTTGGGGTAAAATATGTTGCGTTCTGTGCAGTGACTTTAAACACAGTAAAAGCTGAGAGTAGCATGCTATTGGTTAGATGAAGGCATATTCAAATTATCGCAAAAATATTTGACATGCACTGAGTTTGTGTAGCAGCTGTAGGTAACAACACTTCCCTGCTGTCTGTGTGGTTCTGGTTGCACGAGTTGTAAAGTGATGTTATAAAGTAATTTAAGGTCTATTATGTAATTTATGACGGCTCTCTAAATCCGTCTCAAATCTGTCAAGAAACCCCAAAAAACATGTCCAAATAAGTCAATATAAGTGATATAAAATGCTTTTATGCTTTCTTAATACATGCTCATGATCAAAATTCACCACTGCACATTATTCTAAAGAAAAATAGTTTGTTTTTATGACCTTTTGACTTGCTGATGTCATCAAGCCGTCTTATTTTTCAGCCCCTCTTCTCAAATATCTTGTCATATAGAGAGAAATTTTCACCATAATCAATTCTTGATGGGTTAAATCAAGTCCCACCCAGCAATCATTCTTCTTGAATATCCTGATGCACTTGGAAATTCCACTCATTACAGAAGTTGCAAATGCTTTTTCTTGTTGACTAGATTCTGGTTTTTGTTTACGCATTAGATTTACAATCATCTGTTAAACAACTGTATCTCAAAAACCTAGTGTGTTGCCTACCTAGACAGCATTTAACCATCCTATGATACCCAAAAAAGATGTCTAAATAGGCAGCTCTATGGGTTTTAGGATACAGTCTGTCTGACTCTGTATCCTAAAAGTCATCCTGTTTATTAGATAGCGTTTAATGTGGGTGAATACTAGGTTTATGGGTGTCTGTGGCGCACAGACAGATCTGGGTTACAGACACAGCAGGGGGATGGGAGAGGGTTTGATGTGCCAGAGATTACATAATCCCTCCCTCCGTCCCGCGGTGAATTCCATCAGAGCTGCTTCAGGATCAGTGTGTTTAGTTGTGTAACTAGAGCTGGCGTGATATCTCTGCATTCATTTGAATATTTTACCACACTGATGTAGTCGTTCACCATTTTTTGGCCAGGAAGTGGCCTAGATGCCAAAACTATGAAAGCCTGTTTCCACCACAGTATAAAAAAATGAAAAAGGTAATTGCGATCTCACAATTTGATCTCACAGAATTGCGAGATACGGACTCAGAATTCTGTCTCTTTTTTTTCTGACAATTCTGAGTTTACATCTCGCAGTTCAGATTTTTTTATCTCAGAATTCTGAGTTTACATCCACCAACTCTGACTTTTTCTCAGAATTGTGACATAAACTTGCAGACTTGTGAGATATAATCTTGCAATTCTGTCTTTTTTTCTCGCAGTTGTGAGTTTATATCTCGCAATTCTGACTTCTTTTCTCAGAAATGAGAGATATAAACTCTCAATTGTGAGTTATAAAGTCCAATTATGAGGGGGGAAAATCACACTTCTTTTGCGGGTTTATTTCACGCAATTCTGCGAAAAAAAAAAAAAAAGTCAGACATGCAAGATATAAAGACGATTGCAAAAAAAACGCCCGAATTGTGAGATAAAAAGTCACAATTACCTTTTCAATTTTTTATTCAGTGGCAGCTTTCATACCAAACAAACTAGATTTTTATATTTTGTTTTGGCATGTGAGTGGTGCTTGTATATGCAAAACTTGTCAACATGTTGTCAAGGGGTTGCTGTGCAGTTGCTAGGGTGTTCTGAGTGGTTACTAGGTGGTTAATCTAGTTGGAATGCATTCTGCCATGGCAACTTGCCCGTAACTGTGGGCAAATACAAGTTCAGTGTTGTGGGCTGGTGAAGATGTGCTAATTTAAACAGGACGCTGGCTTATTAGTGCTGCATGATTATGACAAATGTTGTTGATTATTTCCCTTGATATTGCAATGATGAGTACACATTTTAAATGACCTATTACAAGGTGGACTCAACCACCCACAACACCCTAGCAACAGCATAGCAATGCCCTAGCAACATCCCATCACTCCATCATGTTATTAAAGCATCATGTGGTCTGTGGATCTTTCTGTGTTGCCTAGCAACAGTGCGGTTCAGACGGGACACACGTGTGTCTCATGTTTGCACCGGGTCAACAGTGGATGTTTGTTCTCTCAAGTCAGTCTCATGTTCCCTTTTGAGCAAAATATGTGGTGGTTTTTTTTGGCTGTTCTTTGCTTAAAATTCGGGTGCTCTCTCATCGCTTATTCTGTGCTGATGTCAATCCCACAATCCCCTGAGTGAGTCTGCCTAAAGAAAGAATTGAAAACGCACACTCAGCTCCACACCGGTTGACATGTACGCTAAGAGACTCTTATAAAAACTCATTTACAGTGGATTTCATTGGATTAAAAATAAATAAATAAAGACAGGCCCCTTGAAACCATTGATGCATTAGCCTTGTGAAGCAGGAGCTGATGCTAATGACTTTTGGGGTTTTTCAGGGTCCTGGGTGGAGCTGGAGATGAATGGAAACACTCAGCAGCAGAACCCCAGCTTGCCCTCGCTGCTGGGGAACGGGAACCAAGGCGAGTCCCAGGCTTCACAGGCCCTGGAGGCCGTGCAGGAGGAAGAGGAGGTCCTAACAGGAGGACTGGAGCACGTGCCTTCCTCCTCCTCTATCCATAACGGAGACATGGAGAAAATCCTACTGGACGCCCAGCACGAGTCCAGCCCCAGCAGCTCGTCCTGCAACAGGTACGAGCAGAGAAACAGGCCGCTCACTTCCTTTTATTCTCAGAAACTCCGCCCTTCAAATCAGAACACTCAAAATGATTGACAGGAAGAGAGTGTTTCTGATTGGCTAAAAATAAATGGGCTACTCCCCAGACCAGGATTATTATAGATAAGTAAACATTTTTGTTACTTGAAAAAAATATATATATATACAGTGGGTACGGAAAGTATTCAGACCCCCTTTATTTTTTTTTAAAAATGATTTAAGCTAGTTTCCAAGGCAACAACTTAATGCACTAAAATAACCCAAACTGAAACAGAATGTATAAAACTATATAGACGTAGAAAGAAAAAAAAAGAAAAATTATAAAAAAATAAAAAAATAAATAAAAAAAACACAGGAAAATTACTTACATTTTCCCAAAAATTCAAAATGGAAAATATTAAAATAAATTCTAATTTAAACTATTCATAAAAACTGTATTGTATCTCAATGATACAATGATTCACTGCCCCAAATTTCAGTGTTATTTTAGTATTATTAATATACTATTAAAGTATTTATTTACTCGTATTTTCAATTAACTTTTATTGTAATATTTTCTGTTTTTAATTTTAGTAATTTTATTATGTGCTTATGTCATTTTAATTTAATTTTCATTTTTTTCTAATGATATATTTTTTTATTATATTTTGTTTCTAATTTCTATTTAGCTTTATTTTTTACTTCTCTTTACTTTTAGTAATTTTAGTACGTAAGCATAAACTTATTTAATTTAGCTGCCAATGCAACATAATTTTAATTTAAATTTCATTTAAAGTTTTTCCATTTAATGTTTAGAATTTCTTTTATTTCAGCTTTATTTCAAATGACCAAAAACAGTTTGTAATAGTTTTATTTTTAGTTAAAAATAACAACACAGCCCTCAAGATATTTTAGTGACATCAGACAGGTAGTAATAGCATTTTATGTGTAGTATTAACAAATCTGTTAGAGACCATATTCACTTTTTTTTTTGTCACTGAGATCCACTTACTTGTATAACATTAACTAATGTTTCATGCACCAAAAAGTTTCATATTTAAAAAATAAGAGCTGAAGTTGAAGCTTTATGTATTTAACCATTTTCATGACACTGTTGTGGTGTTCATGTATGCTCAGTTCATGAAATACGTTCCTCCTGACCTGATATTTGTCATAAATGACAGGAATACTGAATATGATAGATTCAAATTCACTTCATCCATAGAGGCACATCATAGAGAGGAGGCCGTCTGTGGGCGGCACTGGTGTATTCAGCATGAAGTTTAGTCCCACAGGTGTCCTTTGATTTAGCAGTTCTATTCTTACGTCTGCAGCTCTCAATGAAGTTTAATTCACTCCTTACATGATTCAGGCTTCTGTTGTTCTCTTGTTTTCTGTATTTTACATTTCTCTGATGTGTTTACAGCCCACCACGACCACACAGTCCTGACCAGGATGAGGGGCAGATCATGTTTGATGTGGAGATGCCCAGCGAGAGAGACTGTCAGGTAAGAGCAGCACACAGTATATGAATCTACAATAATCTACAGTCATTATTGAACTACTATCTATCATTGATAGTACTGTTATTTAATAAACACACTTTTAATAAGTGCCCTTTATCAAACATGCCGGTGTTTTCTAATCTCCTTCAGTCAGAAGATGATAGTCTGGAGAAGGACAAAGAGGATGATATCCTCATGAATAAAGGGGAGAGTTGGGTGGCAGACTGGTCCAGTCGACCAGAGAACATTCCCCCAAAGTAAGAACCTGTATCCAAATAAAACCATTTAGTGAGTATGTTCATAATTTTCCATGTGACAAATTTATTAATTCCTAAACAAATCCAATATACGTAATTCATAAAATATTCTGTTCTCTGTGAAACTGAAATATAATTAGTTTATTTTATTATTTTTATAAAAAATATTGATTTATTTAAAAATATTTTATTTTATCAAATATATATTTTTTATTTTATTGTATTTTATTCATTTTTTATTTGTATTAAAATATTTTACTTTGTTTTAAAATATTTATTTAGCATTCGTTTTTATTTATTAAACTGTATAAAATTTTTATTTAATGTTTTTTTTACATTTTATTACAAATATTTTATTTATTTTGAAAAATATATTATTCATTTTAAAGAGTACCAAACTCACAACAGAACTGTTCTGCAATTTAAACAGTTTTTGATACGAAGTTCAGTGAGATAGTATGATCTGTTCACAGGGAATTCCACTTCCGCCACCCAAAGCGTTCTGGATCGGTGTCTCTGAGCATGAGAAAGACAGGTGCTATGAAGAAAGGTGGCGTGTTCTCCGCCGAGTTCCTCAAAGTGTTCATGCCCTCGCTGCTGCTCACCCACATCCTGGCTCTGGGACTGGGGTGAGTGTCAACACACACACACACATAAACACCTATCTCTGCCTATCAAGATCTAATCTAGAGAAAATTACTTCTTTTTGTTGTTGATATTTTAATGCCTACTGCATGTTCAGTTAAAATGGACAAAATTATTTGTAAATAACTGTGTTCTTACTGATACTGACATTATTTTTTCACTGCAAAAACATTTTCACTGCATATAAGAAAATCTGCTGCAAATCCAGTTATTTTGGACAGCAATAATCAGAAAAAAAACTATTGTTTCACCAAATAATATAGTTAATTCATCCAGCATTTAGAGTTGGCCCTAAATGTATAGCAAATATACTGTATATAAAAATAAAGATACAGGAATATAAGTAAATATACTAAATCTATTAGATTTATGTCCTTTTTTAGGGTCTACATTGGGAAGAGGTTGACTACACCCTCCACCAGCTCATTTTAAAACTGAACAGACCCCAGTGCCTGGACGCCCCATCATGAGCAACGGTGGCACAGCAGTGGCCAATCGTGTGATGATTCCTCTCTCTCTCTTTCTCTCATTCTCTCCCCCTCTCTGTCTTTCTCTTTATTGTTTCTTTGAGCCCACAGTCCTGGTTTCCCATCACACCCTCTGCTGGGAGACATTGTGCTTGTTGACCTTTGGCTGTGTCGCAGTTTCTTGCCCTCTAACGCCGTGGCTTACTAACATGTTTTAGATGTTTTTATTTGGACATGTAGTGAATTATTCACTGACGTTTATTTTTTATGACACGCTATTATACAAGCTAGAGCCCCACTACAACAACGGCCATATTACCCTTTTATTTCTGCATGACGCACTTCATATGCAACTAATGCAGAGTCTGGATGTGGCCGGGAATCTTGGGAGTATATTGACTCTTAATAGGAAATTTAGTTTGTTCAAAAATGAGAGTGGTGATATTTGATTCTAGAGAAGTGATTCTAGAGAGATGATTTTGCTCATTATGCTGCGCAATTGAATTCATTCACTCCCCTTCCTGAGCGACAGCATCAAAAATGCATGTTAGTCATAGGAGAACGACGACTGGTTAAAGACAGACCAAGTCAATCTTTACGTATGTCAGTGCACTCGCTGCATTGCGTTGGACTGTTACGACAGTTATTTTGAGACTTGTATTGCATAGAATGTAAACCTTTAGAGGTTCCTCTCAGTTCTGTTTTAGGCCCTTTTCTGTTTGCTCTTCACTTCTGTAAAGATCCAATATGACAGGCACAAAACTGAAGCATCACTTTATAGCAGCATTATAGTATGAAAATATATAAGTAAATGACAAATTTACATTAACAATACATGTTTTTCTAATCGAAAGACCTTAAGCTAAAAAGATCAGCATGGACGTACATCTGTTTAAGAGCCAAACTTGTCGGGTTAGTCGTTTTTGTGAGTTACTAGGGAAGCTAAACACACACAAACTCACACGCTCTGGTTTGCCTTGATGCATATCCTGCTCACTGCAGTTTCTGACTGTGTATCTTAGTGCCAAAGGGTTTCCACCGCCAACCCAACATGAGTCGCTTGCACCTCTCGTAGACTCAGTCTGGTTTGAGTGGATTATTTATCCTGTCAGTCACTCCATTTTGACAACACCTTACAAAGGCCTTTGGTTTTACTGTGAACAGCCTGTGGATGTTAGGCATAGTGTTGCTATAGTTGTGTATTATACGCCGTTGTACGTACTTTTGTCAAACAGATCCACACTCCGTGTACATATTTATATGCAATGTGGTGTAGTTTTACAGATAAAACTACTCATTTAGAAGACTTTAACAGGTTTACACTCACTGATTTACTTGTCACGAACATGCCCAGGTCATATTTCATCCCATCTGAGTGATTATATTTTCATTTATAAAGAATTAAGCCAGGTTTTAAAACCATTAAGACATCTGAGGCATTATTTTCATGACAATTAAGCACATTTTCTCATTACCATAATTAAAAAAGTTATTTATATTTTAACATATTTATACATCATGGTTAAGTTCATTGCACTGCCCTTGCATTTATACAGCTTTTGATTTAAAAAAATCGTATATCAGTAATTTTCAGTTACAAAAATAAAATTATTTTGTTTTTAAATCATGAAAAACTATTTATAGTTTATAAAACTAAAATATTTTAAGATATATATAT